CTCATAGTAAGCCTGGCAGAGTAGCAAAACTAAGAATCCCAATATGAGAATTCTACACACTTGAGAAAAAGCAAACTTCCCAGAAGATTACTTTGTGGTGCTCCAACAGAAATACACCAGGTGGATTATTTAACAATCAGTAGTTTAAATTGCATGGCTCACCCAGTAAAAAAAGGTGAGAGTTACAAGGACTATGACTAAAAAATCCATACCATGTGATTTGCTACACCACAACTTGCATTCTTCTGATGATAACTCATGGTAAACATCTTTATACCTTTATTTTTTATATGTGTTTTCTTTTCTATGCAGCATTTTTTCATGTTTGATGCATTATGTATTTCTACTTGGGCTTCTCTCATAAAAATCCCTGTTTCTTTATATAGGAGCTCTGGTAGCATAGTGCCTAAGGCACTTGACTGCTAACCAGAAGGCTGGTGGTTCAAACCCACCAGCCACTCCTCGGAAGGATGGTTGGGCAATCCTACTTCTGTAGTGATACTGCCTCGGAAACCCAAGGAGGGGTCACTATGAGTCGGGACTGACTCAATGGCACATAACAACAACAACAACATTTCTTTATATATACTTGATACTAATCTGTCAGTTGTGTGTTCTTTGACTATCTTCTACAGCCTTAATGTGTCTTTTTACAGCCACTAAGTCATATTTGAATGAACTAAAATTCTCAATTTTAATAGTCAAATTTATCAATATTTTCTTGTATAGTCAATGTTTTGCCTTTTGTTTAGAAATGATTGCTTATCCCAAGCATATAAATTAACCTAAACATGTTCTGTTAAAATTTTAAGTTTTGTTTTTGAGTTTTTGACACTGAAATATAAATTGTACTAAACATATATGAGTCTATTTCTGGTGTGTCACTTTCAGTTTATTGGAAAATTTGTGAATATTTTTGAAAGTACTGTGTTATTGTTAGGTGCTATTGAGTTGTCTCCAACTCATAGCAATCTTATGTGCAACAGAAAGAAACACTGCCCAATCCCGTGCCAGCCTCATGATCTTTGCTATACCTGAGCCCATCCTTGCAGCCACTGTGTAAATCCATCTTGTTGAGGGCTTTCCCCTTTTCATTGACCCTCCATTTTACCAAGCATGATCTCCTTTTCTAGAGAATGGTCCCTTCTGACAACATGACCAAAGTAGGTGAGACGAAGTCTGGCCATTCTTACCTCTAAGGAGCATTCCACCTGCACTTCTTTCAAGACAGATTTGTTCACTCTTTTAGAAGTTGATGGTAATTTCAGTAGTCTTCATCAACATCACAACTCAAAAGCATCAACCCTTCTTTGATCTTCCTTATTCATTGTCCAGTTCTGTTCTGGTTACCTAGTGCCACTCTGACAAGAATGTTACCACAAATGGGATGGCCTTAACAAACAGGAGTTTATTCTCTCACAAATTGGAGGCTTTAAGTTCAAGTTCAAAGTACCAGGCTCTAGGGGCTGGGTGAAAAGCCCCTCAACCTTGAGCTCCAGCTCTACCTCCTGCTCCCAGAGCACTGGAGCTAGAGGCATTTCTTCACTCAGACAGCAGCTTGCTGCTGAGGCTGAGAAGCCCCAAGGTTGACAAGTAAAAAGGCACAGTCCTGATGTTACCAAACCACACGGCAGGCCACTGATTTAAGTCCATTTTAAGTTCCAAGGTCGGCAGAGCATGGCAAGCTGCTGAGCAACAACACGGCTACATGCAGGGTCAAAGCATGCCATAGGTTAGAGACCATACCCAAAGACTTCTCCTTATATACAGGAAGCAGACCACATACCCAAAGGCAGCTACTCAGCTGCCTGTGGTAGATCCCACCATGGAGCTGATTGCCAGTCACCTCATGGGGATTAACGACCACCAGCTGCCCAGCCACTCAACCAGGCCCAGCCAAGCTGACACAAAAACATAACCACCACAAGTTCTCATATGCATATGAGGTGACTGAAAATACCACAGCTTGGGTTAGGCACACCTTAGTCTTCAAGGACACATCTTTGCTCTTCAGCGCTTGAAAGAGGTCTTTTGCAGCAGATATGCTCAATGGAATACATCATCTGATGTCTTGACAGCTGCTTCCATTGGTGACAGTACTACACAGCCTTAATTACTCTAGTTTTATAAAACTTAGTGGCATAGTGCCTAAAGCATTTGACTGCTAATCAGAAGGTTGGTGGTTCAAACCCACCACCCACTCTGCTGAAGGAAGACTGGGTAATCTAATTCTGTAAAGACTTACCACCTTCAAAACACAAAAGAGGTCTCTATGAGTCAGAATCAACTCAACGGCAGTGAGGTTTTTTTTGTTTGTTTGTTTGTATCTGATATATCACATTTCCATTCTGTATTTTCCTCTTTCAGAGGAATCCTAGGTGTTCTGAAATCCTTATCATTTCATGAAAATTTTAGCCTTCAGTTTAAATGCCATAGTTTCTGTTAAGTTTTCTCTTGTATTAGATCCAGAGTACTCTTCCTCTACTCAGAGAATGTAATAATCATCATACTCTATTCAACTACATAGATGTTTACTTTATTGCAGACATAAACTCCATGGCAGGAGGGAGTTCCTTTATATCACCAAGACTTAGAGCATAGTAGATACTTAATGAATAATTTATTAAAATATTAATAAATTAATAAAAATACTCAAATTAATTGACAGTACTTGCGAATATTGAGTGTTTAGGGATTGTTTAAAATTCGGAACTAGAAGGGACCTTTGAAAGCACCTAGTTCAAAACCTTTGTTTTAATAGCAGAGACACATAGGTCCCAAAGAGTCAACTTTTTTCAGTCAAATAGAATTTTTATAGAAGATTTGAAACATGAAAATATCAGTCACCTATACTTTACACAGCATCTTCATTCTGTAATAAAAATATGATTTTAAATACAGGGTACAAATTTCTAAATTAAGTAATATCCTGAAATAAGAAGTAACTATAGATTTTTTTTTTTAAATCCTAAAGTCTATTTTCCACTTTTCTAAGATAAAAAAAAAGTTAATGTACAACATTGAACAACTATTAAATTAAAGAGAATATATTTTAATCATGCAATATAAGAACAAGGAAAGGGTGCGATTTTTGCCTCGAATTACTAACTCTCATATTTTTACATCAATGACTGAGTATTAAGAACTTAAATCAACAAAACTGTACTTGCAGAAAAGTCTGTCATACTTTTGCTGAATCAGGTTATAACATTTTATATGTGTGCGTGACCAATCTAAATGTCTCTACTCAAGAAATGACAAAGTGATCACTGCAAACCAATGTAATCCATCAGAACACATTTCCACTTTCAGCCAAGCAGCACCTCAACTGATTTAACAAAGAAGCAGAGCGGCTTGATTTATTCTGGAATTTTAACCAAAGATCAGCACATCAACTCCCATGTTCATTTATCAAAAACTGATAGACTCATAAAGTTCTTCTCTCAGAATAATTGTAATATAAAGGCATAAAAAATGCATATGAACTACATAAGTGAGACAAGGCTCAATTCTTTGTACTAGTCAAAAACTGCAGTGAAACAGACCCATCCTGAAAAGAAGACAAAGATACTTAGAGTCTCTCCAATTGAGCTGGAGCATTATTAAATCCAAAATGTCCAAAACAGTATTTGAACAAAAATTACTTTCTGGAAATTCTCTTTTGTGCTTTCCTAAACCTCATATAGCCAGGTAGTATCAAATTATTTCTATTTACTATCATGTTTTTACTAATAATAACCTCAAAAATATCTGTGAGATCGAACGCAAATTACATTCAATTAATAAATGAAAGTCTCAATTCAGAAATTCAGGTGATATTTTTTAATAGGTGCAAGAACTTCAACTGGAGTCAGTTAAAGTTTATCTTTTGTCATATTTGTAAAGAAAAAAGAAAAAAATAATTTTTGCTAAGTAGAAGATTAATATAAACCAGATTAAAAGATAAAAATGTTTCATTTACTGAAACTAAAGCTAGTTTCAAGTTTTCTTAAGTAATATGAAAAGCACCCATTTACTACAAATAGGAGCTCTGATAGCACAGTGGTTAAGGCACTTGACCACTAACCAGAAGGCTGGTGGTTCAAACCCACCAGCCACTCCTCAGAAGGAAGGTGGGGCAATCTACTTCTGTAGTGATACTACCTTGGAAACCCAAGATGAGATCACTATGAGTCAGGTCCGACTCTACAGCACATAATAACAACAATAACATTTCAGAAATATAATTATACTTAAAAATCTAGAAGTCAACCAAAAGTATAGAGGAAATTATTTAGAATCTCTCCACAGCAAATTAATCTCTACTCTTTAATTAATAAATTAGCATTTATATAAATCATTATTTTAATATTTCTTTCTCTAAAATTCACTCTTACCTAGTTATTGAAACTGGTTACCAGTAGAGGTAAATACTGAGGTAATGTGGCTTTCTAATACATTGAAATAATAATTTGTACTTAAAGTAGGGCTAACAGACTGGTGGCCCACATATTGAATCTGGCCACCAATGTGTATTTCACTTAAAAAATTGGTGTTTTGGTTTTTAATTTAACTAATTTATTTCTTTTTCTTACACATGAAAGTCTATAGAGGTGTCACACCCAGTTCTGGTATGCCTTTGTCTCCCTTTTGTAGGCTCTTCAATTTTATGTTATTTCCTTGATGACTGCAAACTTTGACCTTCTGCGAGCCTATATTTAAAATTTTGTCCAGTGTTCACAAATTAGTCTTTCCTTATAGTCATAATCACCAAACCTTGAAACTATTAGAATTGGAAGATATCTTAGAGGTTAGCTAACTCTCTTTGCTTCTTCTGACAAGACACCAGAGGTCAAGATAACTGAAGTGGCTTCTCCATGGTTTGATGTTTATTAATAACTCTGCCAAATGTTCTTCTAACTCAAGTGAAACAACCCTTATTTTGTTAATTTTCATATTTTTTCAGGAGTTACTACCCTTCTCATCTTTATTAAAATGATATTCACTTGCTTAGCACTTACCCCTCAGTGCAGGTAGCAGGGACCTCTCCTTCTTGTCATCACATTTGTTACATTCACTGAAGTAGAGGAGTAAGAAGACATCAACGAGGACCCACATCAGTGAAGTGGCTAGAACCACTTTACAGTAAACAAATCTCCTCATGTCTTTCCTTGATTTCTATCTAGTTAGCACACAAATTGAAGACAGATGCAACAGTGATAAATCCAAGCCACAGACTTGAACTCTGGAATAGAAGCAGGAGGCATCCCACTGTAAAAAAAAAAAAAAGGAAAGTTCATTTATTGTAAAAGTATTTCTTTTGTGTTAAGAATATATGATATAAAATAAATGACATTTAATGTCCCCATAAAAATAATCACTCAGGTCTTAAAATTTAAAATGAAAAAGCCACCTGGATGAGAGTTTACGTATGCCAGGTGGTAAAATTATCTAATCTCAGATCTCCCACTAATCTGCTGGGCCATTGACAAACCATTTCATTTCTTCAAGTTTTATCATCTTTACCTTGAAGTTCTGTCATGCTGTCGTGATATTTTTTATAGCATCAGGTTGCCGAAAAGTGAAGTTCAGAATTTACCCTTAATCACACTTCTGAAAAGCCAATAATGCTGAAATCAAAATCATCTGAAGATACAATATATCTTGGTGGCTAAGAATTAGCCTCTAGAGATGACAGATCTAGGTCTGTACACTTTCTAGATGTGAAAACCTTTCTAAGCTTCATTTTTCTCATCTGTAAAATGAGGATAATAATGCCAAACCTAAAGATTTGCTATGATGATTAAGTATGATAGCTATGATAATATATCTTGAAGAACACAGTTATTGAGATATAAAACAGAAAAAAAAAGAAAGAAAGAAAGAAAACTTTCTCAGACTCTTAAATAGACAATGTCGTGAAATAAACCAACAGTTATTTGGCTTTAAAAAACCCATCTGGTCTGCACAGAAAGCATCCACAACAGATGTGTACTCTAGAATAGTTAGCACACATTCAAACAATTTAGCAGGGGAGAAACAACATATTAGTGCAGAGAGACTTAAAATAACCAAACCAAGAATTCTAAAGGGTATACCAAAGATGTCCACCATTACTGAGATATGTTCAAAAGTAAATAGAGAATTAATACCGCATACATATTTGTATTATTGGCAATATATCAAATAATAACTACTTGGTTAACTAGTTTCTATCTGTAAAATAAATAAATCAGACAAAAGATAATCTCATATCATTTGCTACACTTAAAATAATATCAAGTGAATAATAAATTTATTGTAAATAAGAAAAATAACATTTTGACAGAAATATTTGGGAAGAACTACTATTAAGATGCAAGGGACTTTCATAAATATTTGTCTCAAAATAAAAGCAGCAAAGTACAATTTACAGAGGCAAAAGCTCTTTAAATTAAAGGCAGCTGACTTACCATCATAAAACAACACAAAAGCTGTTGCCTGTTATAGCCTATCCAGAATACTAACAAATTTGAAATTCATAAAAAGCATTAACAAAATACTTATTATAACAAAGTCTATTTTCAATTTCCACATAAGATATATATTCCTTGAGAATACGATTGTGTTTTTTAAAAAAGACATAGACAGTACCAAATGTGCAAATTCAAAGAACACATGACACTTGGGGTTTGTTTGTTTGCTTGTTTGTAGCTGCTCTTTAAAGAAATGTGGCGAGGAGGCGGGGCAAGATGGCGGACTAGGCAGAAGGATTGCACAGACCCTCTTCAACAAAGAAAAGGGAAACCAATTAACACAGACACAGAAGA